TTCTAATGAACCCTTTTTTGGTTGCTTTATTGTCTGTCTTACTGAAAAAGCTGTTGTCTCCTGGCACTTGAAGCAATATGATGACAGGGAATGCACTCCTACCAAACAGATGTTCCTTGCCCCTCCTGTTGCTTTCCCATGACACTCAAGGAGAACAAAGCAAATGGCCAGAGTTCACAGCAGGCTGTAGAAGTAACTTACTGTGTTAAACTGGGAATCAAAGTAAAAACAGCTGAGGGGGAGCCTGGAAGACTCAGGGGTTAGAGAGCTTGGATTAAGGCAAGCCCAGGGAGCACGTGTGAGACCAGGTGTGCTGGGTCACAGGAGAACTGCACGAAAGTGATGCATTTTGGAGTCCTTTGTCTGCTTAATTATCTGAGCTGATCTCACCTACCAGATAGTGCTGGGATGGCTGTAAAACACCCAGGCCCTTTCTACCACAAAGTTATTGGAAAACAGAGTTTCTATAGAAAATAAATCAGAGGTGAAGCTTGCCCCAAGTGTTAGTTCTATAGACACCGTTTAGGCTTGCGAAGACTTCTTGAGGATGTCGGACATCTAGCTGCTTGATTTGTAGACACAAGTAAGGAGGTTTAGCAGTGGAGGTTTTATTTGTTTTTTATTTTCCTTGGCAAAGGGAGTGTGCCTGAAAGTTTGGCCTTTAAAGCAAATCCTCTGGGTCGCGTTCAGCCTCTTTTTGGGTGTATCCTGTTTTTGGAGCCGTTCTTATCTTGATACACCCGCTCTCCTGTTTTGGTAACTGCGCCTCTTCTTTCACGACAGACCAGCATTAAGTACCTGCTTTTCTTCAATTGCCTCTCTGTACCTGTGGTCTGAAAAGAGAGCTGCTCTTAGGCAGAGGGCCCGCTGCAGATTGAAACAGTGTGACTGAAAAAGCTGCTGCCTGTAATGTGGGGGGGGAAGGAACGGGGAGGTACGGTGACGTGTGCTTGTCCGGAGACTGACACCACTACCGCTTTTGTCCCCAGACTCTTGAAATGCCTGAAGACTTTCGGTGAAGTGCACTGAGTCGAGGTGACAGACTTGCTATTTAAAAGAATCAAACCTTATCTTACAAATGGAATTGGAGAATTAGCAACGCACAACTGCCCTCTTTCTTCTCTCTGCCTGTCTCTGCCGTTCGACCTACGTCTGGGGCAGCGATTAGGACAGGAAATCAAGCTGCCCATGTTCCTCCTTCCCTTCTGACACCGCTAGCGTGCAACAGTCTCGTTGCTCCCAGGATCCCACAACCCTGAGAACAGACATACAGGTGTAGAAAAGCCATGAAGCAGAAGGATGCCCTTCGCGACCACACTGGTCACTGCCGACAGAGAGAGGAATTGGACGATTTGGTGATAAAACTCTAAAAAAAAAAGAAAAAAATATATAATCTATTTAGAATTAATTTATAGCTGTATATATGTTGTACTTTTAAACTATGCAGGGGTTGGATGATTAAATTATTTTGTTTTCTGCCCGGTTTGGTAAACAGGGAAGCGGGAAGTCTCTTCCCAGGGTGTCTCGTTCTGCAGCACTTTCCTGCCTGACACACTAAAACAAGAATCACTTTGCAGTTACTGTATTTTGCTTTCTGGAGGACAGCAGCATTCTGCACCTTGGGATGTCAATACCTGCCTTTCAGGTTTTAATAAAAGGAATTCCAGCTCTGTAGGGGGTAACACAGAAGTGGGGGAAGCTGTCCAGATTTGTGGTGTGGTTCTGCCACGTTGGCAGAAGCTGCAGCAGGTCAGCTGAGCCCCGGCGCCGCACTCGGTGGCAGGAAGGATTGTCCTGGATGGGTTTTGCTCATGAGTCGTTGGGTTTATTTGTGAATGTAACTTCTTTTTTTGCAGAGTCTGCTTTAATTTTGCCTCGTAATCAGCGTGCAGCATTTGTTCTGTAAAGAGGGCTTTCCACGAGCTGCCTCCCTTTGTTGCGGTTGTTTCTGGTCTGTCCTACACTTGGGGTTCCTCACCACCAGTATTCCTGTTTGCAGCGTGGCCGTGGCCTTGACACCCTATCTATCTCTAATGTTTCCTAGAGGAGACCTGTAAAATACTGCTAATTCATAAGAAACAAAGCTTCCTATTGCTTCTGTTGAAAGAAGTGTTGATGGGGGAGATAGGCGGGTGCGCCGGAGCTCTCCTCAGACCCCCCTGAGCTCTGCAGCACATCACTTGCTCCATCACCGCTGGGCAGGACTGGCATAGGGGCAGCAGGAGGGTGCTTGAGGTTAGGAACCATCTCTTCAAAGCAAAGCTTGCACGAGCCGAGCTACCTTCTATGGGATAAACTGGATTCCTTTTCTTGGCACTCTGCAGTTCATTTTTGTCTAAAGACATTTCCAGTGAGATCTGTCCCCCGACCCGCATAGGGGAATGAATGAGAAGCATGGCAGCTCCTGGGTGGGATGGCAGGAGCTGGAAGAGGTGAGAGGTAGGGTGGTTTTGTTTCTTTGTCATTAGGAACCTACGTGCTCTGTCTTCAGCCATTTATTTATTTCGCAAAATATTGGCCCGCCTGTTAACTGCAAGCCTTATTATCCCACAGCCACTGTTACTTGGACCTGATTTTAAAGAGTTGGGGTTTCTTGGTTGTTTTGTTGGGTTTTTTTAATGATTCTTCTACCTTTGGTTGGAATTGGATGGAAGTTGGATGGCATTTGGAGATAGCTTTTACTAGAGGCACAGGCTAGCCGGCACAAAGAGATAGTGGGGAGGGGGTGAAACAAGAAACATGTTCACAGAAGGTGGTGAATGTCCTGCACAACAGCATTCCTTGCCCAGAGCCTGCCCACCAAACCCTTTTGATTATATTTTTCCAAGTAGATACCCATCAATAATAACGAGCCAGAAGGCGTAGATCCTAACGGATGCTCACATTGGCTGTATCTCTCGATTTAGAATTAATTATACAATTGTACATCTATAAATAAATGTTTATAATGTGAAAGGCTCTGGCTGTGTTGGTGTCCTGTGGATCCTTGCCCCAGCCAGCTCTGGTTTTACAGCTCCTCCTTCACACCACCTTTTTTGCATCCACACAGTTGTTCAGTGAATGGGATTTGGTGTCTCTGCTGCCCCAGCAAGCCCCAGTGGCTGAGAGCTCCAGCGCTGCAGGGGCCTCCCTGGTGTGGGAGAGGGAAGGACAGGGAGAAGATAGAGAGCAGGAAGTGCCCACGGAGTTAGCCATGGGTCCTGGCAGCGTGGTGGCGGTGAATGCTCAGCAGGACGTCTTTGCTTCAAACTGGTTCCACTGGGATGCTCCCAATACGGTGCCTTGTGCCTCATCTTCCCTCCTATCAAAGCGCCATTGTTAGCTGGGTCCCCCACATCCTCTGGCTAAGCCCTTTTTGGGGATGCTTTATTTTCACTCCAGAATCCCACCATCCTGGCAGCATCATCCCAGTGTTTGAACATGCCCTTTGGACAGGTCTGGGGAGGGCGGTGGGCTGGAAGGCTCGGTCTGCCTTTGTCCTGGATGGAAATGCTGGCTTAGACATGCTTCCCGACAACAGTGGCTCAGAAACTGCCAGCTGCTGGCCCAAAATCCTCAGGGTCAGATTTGGCATCTGTGCTCCCAAATGGGTCCTCTCTTTCCCACATCCCCCTCCCTGGGGCAGCAAAAAACTTTTCCCACAGCACCTAGGGCAGGCCTGACCCCTCTGGTGCTGCCGCCCTCCTCCCTAGCCCCACACATCAAAGGGCTGGAGGTTTTGGGTGGGTTTTTTTCCCTCTTTCCCATTTTTTCCCTCCTCTCAGAGGCCAGGGGTCACACCGCTTCCATTTCCCCTTGGCACCGCGTT